GGCTAGAGGTTAAAAGACGTGAGAATCGAATTTAGTTTACAGTATATGAGAAAACACAGACACACGTGTCTAAAGAGAAGAACGACAATACAGTACTGGTCAGTTAGTGCTGGGAAAAAGTAAGTTTTTTAGTTTTAGTAAGTGTTTTAGAGCACTTGTAACACAATAAGGTCATATAAGTGCCGAAGATTAGTTTAGTTTTAGTAGAGATTTTACGGACGCTCGCAACTGCATAAGGTCACATGAGCGCCAGAAGATTAGAGGTGTTACAAGAGAGTAACAAACGTAAAAAAAGAAGAAAGGGAGATAAGGACGATAGATGTTTGTTAGGAAAGAAGAAGCAAACCATACCACAGCACCCGCCAACCACCAACTGGGAGAAAGTGAGAACGTAAAGCAGACAGACAGAAGAAACAGCAGAGGGAAAATGAAGAAGGACCTACCAGTGGTGCCCTCCAACCACCCGCACGATAACACGTGTCGTGAAATTGTACTGGGAAAGAGCAAGACAAACAGTCACAAACAACAGGAGGAAGGCTAAAAAGTAGGCAGGATCTTCGATCCAAACATGATACCCAACCCTGTTAAGTATCACTAAGCCAGGTCAGCAACTCATGAAAACTTTCTAAACAACCCAAGTTCATTAGAACTCTAATTTGGGATCCAAACCAGGTTCACTCTCGCCATATTCCAGTATGATAACAACACCCCTAATAACATCGCTAAATGGCGTTCGTGCGACCGGCCCTTCAAATACAATGTGTACAAAACAGCGAAAGAAAAGTTCAAGAAATAGTTCAAGGTACAAAATAGATAACCCAGTGGCCAGTTGTCATCACAACAATTCTTTTTTTTTTTAAAGTTTTAGTAAGAGTTTTACGGCACTTGCAACACAATAAGATCATATAATAAGTGCCGAAGAATAGATGTGTTACAAGAGAGCAACAAACATAAAACAGAAGGAGGGGAGATAGAGACCATATATTTTTTATTGGAAAGAAGGAGCAACCACACCAGAACACTCGCAAGCCACCACCAACAATTCGGTATTGTCTTACATCTTAATCAGCTCTGACTAATACCCACAGGAAACGGGTATCAGATACCGTGGCCATAAAGATAAATAAATGATGTGTATACAATGCATGTATACATAAATTCCAAGACCTACGCTCCCACTCCCGAACACGTCTTACAGAACACACCCAGCCCATGTGTGTAGATAACAGTGTGAATGGGGGAAAAACTACAAGCCATGACCACGGCACACACTGATAACACCAGTGATAACACCCCAATGCATCATTACGTTCGGTACGTATGTGCACAACACAACATGCATTCCGTGATATTCTAATTACGAAGTGGCTATTCCCAGTGACACTGGGGATAGGTATGGAAACTATTCCCAGTGATAAATAACGGAACTCTTTTGCATAAAACAATCAGAATTCTTTGTACAGTAGACTCTCTTCCTTCTCTTCTCACTTCAGTTCAGTATTTTTGTTCTCTTCTCTTACTTAGGGCTTAAAGGTTTGACCGTAGAATAGATCTAGACTCTAGACCTAGAACTTGATCTAGAAGAAAGAAGAGTCGGGACGGATTTCACCCTGTCCTGTACCGCGGTCTCCCAAATCCGTATGTAGATCTCTATCTACACGTACATTTAAATTACGACTGAACAACAAGCAAGCATAGAATGATCATTCCTTTTTCTTTAAAAAAATTCTTCCCCTCACACCAGAATCTACTTTAGTTAGATCTAGAATCTAGATCTACATTAGATATAGTCTAGTATTTAGTAGCCCATCACCATCATGCCAATGTAGACCAGTGTTCGAACAACAGATCTAATGGGCCTGTCTGTTCTCAGTGTCACGGTGAATATTTTCTGGGCCTATCCCCAGTGTCACTGGGAATAATGCTTTCCTTCTAATTATTATCGTCGACCCCTCGCATTGACCCGGCCGGACGAAAGCCGAATCTGCCAGATGCCAGAAAAAGTCGAATCATTTCTCATCTTTCTAAAAAGCAGTGTATTATGCTTTTGCAGACAGACAGACAGACAGACAGACAGACAGACAGACAGACAGACAGACAGACAGACAGACAGACAGACAGACAGACAGACAGACAAACAGATAG